AGGCAAAGTAAAGCAGATTTCCTTGACTGCTTCAGTTCCTATGCAACTACTCTTGCAAACTGATCTTTTGTAAAATGAAAATAGATGTTTGTGAAGTATCTTGATGACTGAGGTCAGGGTTTACAAGGTTACAAAGGAGCCATTCCGAGTGAATCTTGCAAACTTTGAACTCTTGTACTAATGGTGAGGTAAAATACTGCTGGAAATGGCAGCTTATGGAAACCAATTGGCCCAGCTGATTAAAATCCCATTAAAAGCTTCCATTGTGAACAGTGGTGTTGCACCTCTCTCTGAACTCCGCCATATTGTATGACTGTTTGTACATCTTTGCTCTTGTGCATTAACTAATCTTGACTTCACTGCACTGAAGGCTAGGGCTAATGGACTCCAGTCATGTGTGATTGTCATTCGAATACTGCGTGACCTTTGTCAGAGAGTACCTACCTGGTCTGCATTTCCTAGCTGGGTGAGTAATGTTGTTGTTGTTGTTGTTGTTGTTGTTGTTGTTGTTTTTTTTTTTTTTTTTTTTTTTTCTCTCCATGTTCAGATTACTTTATGCTTTTTGTTTCGGTAGACCTTCAAAAAAAGGTATCTAAATTCTGGAGTATGTCACTTTTTTTGGTTGCCATTTGGTTAATTTATTTTGATAGTTGGTTGTATTCATACACATGTCAAGTAGCAACATGTTATCTGTCGTTTTTCCTTATTGTCTAGAATTTAGTGAATGCATAATCTGACACCATGTTCATTGTAACACAAAAATATTGGGTAGTCTAAGGCAAAGAAAGGTTCAGAGTTTCTTTTTGAAATTGAGTTTTGCATTCACTGTATTTTGCATTCACATTCCTGAACAATGAGAATTGTAATTTTGAGACCTTACCTGCAGTTTTTATGTAGAATTTTTATAATGCAATATAATTCAAAGCTTTCAAGATTGTCAAGTTTGTTTGTTTTGATGGCGCACGTTAGTGGCCAACAAATTTCCTGTGTATTTTTTTTTTTTTTTTTTCTTGAGTTTGTTGCTTTCACACCACACGCATCAAGCACGTGTATAGACATCCTGCAGTGTGAATGAGGAGATTAGTTCAAATGAAGCAGTACGAATCGATCAAGTAGGAAAATATGAACTTCAGTGGACATTCGCGCTGCATTAACCAATCAGAAGCTTGCTCTTATAGGGGAGTTACTATGTAGTGTCAGTTGTTGGTGTCTCAAGCGAAAATCCTCTTACAGACAAGTTCATCAAACTGGGCCCTGCTCAGTCTGAAGCACCACTGAAGCCCTTTATCCAGATATAGTTCCTGGAGGAGTTGATGATAAACTCGGAGAGCTGGGTGCTCCTCTGAAAGAATCTAATGGACTCTGACACTGTGCCAAACGAATATGCTGTTTTTCAGCCTTCCTAATGCACAAAGCACGGCTACTATCTCAATAAAATCCATATTAGCCCATGCCCATGACGTGAATCTGCGTCTATTGTGAAGAGGATTTCACTCTGTTCATGTGTCCATAAATGATATTAATATTAATAACATAATAATATTGCGTTTTTATTTTTTATTTATTTATTTTTAATTAATGCGTACAGTGTCTGGGGTGAATGCAGCATTAGGAACCAAAGTACTAGGGAACGTCAAAGTCTATTTTGTTGTGATGCAAACAGATGGGTACAAGTTAATTTTAGGAATTCTTGTTTTTTTGCACTCTGTCTCCTTTTATAACCTTTGGTGTGGTTTAGCAATGGTTTTCAAATTACAAGCAACTAAATTAAATGGTGTTAAATTAAATTCAAGGCTATGGAGCTACTGGTGGAGAAGGCCATCAGCAGTGCCTCTGGACCAATGAGCCCTGGAGATGCTCTGCGAAGAGTCTTTGAATGTATTTCCTCAGGCATCCTGCTATCAGGTAAGATCTGAATGTATTGATGCAATTCCCCCCTAAAACATGGCTAAGAGACATTGAAAATGCAAATGTTTTTAATGACATGGATTAGTAGGAGAGTTGGTCAAACTCTACACAAACTCTACTTTTTTATTTGGATGCTTAGTTCAGTATATGCTCGACTTTTCCTTGTAATGCAGGTGCTCCAGGATTGATTGACCCCTGTGAGAAGAATCCAACAGATACACTAGCATTCATGGAAGAGCAACAGAGAGAGGACATTACGTCAAGCGCTCAGGTAAAATAACTTTTGTCAGTCAAATAAAAGACTCTTTATTTCATTCAAGGGTACATTTTATACTTTTAAGTTTGGTTCACTTATAGTTCAATTCCAGTGAAAGGTATGGTTCGGTTTAATAACCATGGTTCGCTAATCCATGTATTCTGTTATTTCCATAACCATAAACCTACTAACTTGAGGTATGTTTGCTCAAACCACTTTTGGCAGTAACATAAGTATGTTATCCATAAACGCAATTGAATTTCTCAACCGATTACTTTAACCAGAGGTAACAATGGAAAGCAAAACCCAAAAAGCAGATTGCCACACCTTTCTCCTTCTATTTAAGGGCGAGTTACATTCTTTAAGCTAATCGACCAACCCCACCCCCACTCTATTTGTGTGCGTGCGTATAGTGTTATTTTTTATATATATATATATATATATAAATATATATATATATATATATATATATATTTATATATATATATATATATATATATATATATATATATTTATATATATATTTATATATATATATATATATATATATATATATATATATATATATATATATAAGATAAGTAAGGGTGAGGAATTAACATTTATTTATTTTTATTTTTTTGGGTAAACTAAAGAGAACCGATCCTAAAGTGTTAATGCACCCTAAACTGAATTATGTGTTTTGATCGTTTTATAATTATGAAATGTGTACTAATCATTCACTTTCTCCACAGTTTGCCTTGAGGCTGCTGGCATTCCGGCAGATTCACAAGGTTCTGGGTATGGACCCATTGCCCCAGATGAACTCCCGCTTCAACGTACGGAATACCCGCAAGAGGCGTCGTGACAATAGTGATGGGGCTGATGGATTTGAAGCTGAAGGCAAGAAGGACAAAAAGGACTACGAGGGGTTCTGAAGTACACTACAGTACAACTAGTCCTTTTTTTCCCTGCACCGTTTCCAATCCTATTCATTCCAGGAATACATAACGCTATTTCTGTTGACCTCTGTGCATGCCGATTACTAGTCTTTAGAAATGTTTTTTTTAAAAGCTGGTAAAGACCTAATGATGGCCACTTGAGGAGATGCCAGGCTTCATTTCCTTAACACCCAGACTGTAGTCCATCTCAATTGTTTAGTCTGGTGTCTTGGCTTAAAGATTTGAAATGCGCACAAACCAGAGAAGTTAAGCCTAATGTTCATGCTCCATTCAGCACATCAGATGTAAAATTTTTCACCATCTTCAGATCTCTTATGAATCCAAGGCTAGGCAGTTTTAGAGCTGTGTACTTGCATCAGTGTGAAACCGGTTCATTCTTTAAAGTATATCTTAACCTTCCTGTCATATGTGTGAAGTAACTTTGACAATTGCTTCCCTGGCTTTGCAGTAATTTTAGTTGTGTTCATAATTTATTTTGATTGGAGACATTCCTCTTAAAACCACAAGATCAAAGAGTAAATGATCGATTAATGCGAGCTGTTAGTCCTGTTATGATGAATGTGATGCCATTGACTGGACGTGGATTTATTTTAAGCATGTACTTCCCATTGCTCATGCATTCTAAAGGCCGGGTTGGCTTTTAAACCATTTGTAAGTTTGTCATTGGCAAATTCATATCCTTGAAGTGTCTCTAGAACCTTGTTCCTTCTGTTTGCTTAATGCGAGTGATGTTAGGCTGTAAGTGTGCTCTGATATCCACAGGCCTCTGTTGTGTAGCTGTTGCGTTTCTCAGACCTGGGCCAAATACCAGAACTATTAATCGATTTTCTCAGTAAGTTTAATTTCAAATTGAGTTGTTACAGTCATTTTGGAGCAGTTGTTCACAGGGATTTCTATAAAAAGTGAGCATTGGAGGTGTTTTTAAATAAAATTTAAAAAACATTGGTTTACTTTTCTTTAAACTGTAATTGACCCAGGTCTGCCTGTGTTTTATTTCTTTTTCTGTTCATAATATTGTAAACCCTAAATGTATCTTTAAGTGTGATCATATAACTATATGATCTCTAATATATGATCATTTAATAAACCTGTATCTAATCTTCCAGTAGATCTTCAAAAACAAATGCTTGTATGGTTTTAAAGCACAGGAATGTTTTTTTTTTTCTTATGTTCTGTTTTTATGGGTTTTGTTTTACTGATTGATAGATGCATAGTTGCTTGCTCTTAAGTTTGGTTTCTGATTCAAAGTTTGTTGAATATCTGTTAAAGAAGAGAAGGACAAAAGTGAAAAATATCTGTGTTGTAACTGCAGATGTATGTAGACTTACCCTTTGATGCTTGTCATTCACTGTCAAGGTACTACTGCATTACAATGCATATAATAAAACATTTCTGGAACAATGGTTTCTGCTTTCCTTTTTAATCAGATACAGCAATCAGCTGAAAACCAATTCGTCTTTAGCCAGGAAATTTCATATTATCAAAGTAGATTGGATTTATTCGCAGTGGTGTTTGTCACAGCACCAAATGCTTTATTTTCTTTGCTGATGCTAATGAGAAACTACTTTTAGTCTGTATTCAAAGGCGGAAAGTCACAGGAGCCCCAAGGCAAAAGAAAACAAAAACATGCCCTTCTTCAAGTGTGGGCGTAGGCTGTTTTGAATACGGCGACTCATTGGTTTAAAAACAAGGAAGCGCTTAAGATTGACAGCTGCATCGTCCAATTAGAAAAAAGCGGCTTGTGTTTGACCAGCTCTGAAAATGGACAGTTTGTCTATAAAGAACCAATGATGTTGAACGGGCGCGGTTTGCTTTCAGAGCAGGTTTGTCTTCCAACCAACCAAATGAAACCGTTCTTGTGAAAGGGAGAGGTGGAGGAAGCGAGAGAGAGAGAGGCAGGACAGTAGTGCTCTCGAGCTCTCCCGGATTTCCACCTGACTGCTCGGGAAGCGGGATTCTGGGACAGCAGAATGTTGAGTTTGGGGAGCGGAGGAGCCAAGTCCTCTAAACCGTCATTTGTGTCTTATGTGACTCCCGAGGTAAGCGAAAGATCTCGTGCAATTTTGAGTTGTGTTCAAAACAACCAGGAGACTGTGGGTTGAAGTAAAGTAAAATAAGAGTTGAAAGCGCGGATTGTATTGCACTGGGCGGGGTTAGCATTATTTTGTCCCATGCTGAAGTTCACGTTGTTGACATGTTCAAGTTTAGCCAATTCGCACTTTTGTTTATATGAGGTTTGTTCACGTGGGAAAAGGCACTCAAACGACCAACATTTGTTGTTTATTTTCCATTCAATTGCGCCATGAACTTGACATTCTTCCCCCCGTCGACTGAAACCCAACTCTCAGAACTCAACATCCTTTATTTTGCGTTCAACTATGATTCGAGGTTGTCATCCAGGTTACTGAGTAATTTTTATGTTTATTGAGTCACGAGTGGCTTCACTTGCTCTGGCATGTGATGTATTTGAAGTTGTTGGTTATGCCTTGAGAAAGTTATGCAGCTGAGGTATGTATGTGCGCGCGCGCGCGAGAGAGAGAGCGTCGTACTATTAGAATAAATGTCATGGGACGTGTCATGACCACTTGACAGCCAATACAATAGGCTACAAATATTTATTTGTTCTTAATAAAAGCATGAAAATAAGAACAGTTGTGCTCAAATTAAAATTAAAACTCAGTCTTTTTTTTATTTTCAGAGCTCATTTAATAATTTTCCTTCGGTTTAGTCTCTATTTCAGAGGTTGCCACTGTGGAATGAACCGCCAACTATTCCGGCATATGTTTTATGTAGTGGATACCAGCAACCCAATATTGGGAAACACACTTTCACATTTGCACAAACACACTCATACACTACAGACATTTTAGCTCACCCAATTCACCTATAGCTCATGTCTTTAGAGTTTGGACTGCGTGGGAACCCAGAGTAAACCACTCAAACATGGGGAGAACATGCAAACTCCACACAGAAATGCCAACTAGCCCAGCCAGGTCTCGAACCAGCCACTTTGTTGCTGTGAGATGACAGTGTTAACCATTGAGCTGGTTAACTTTGGATTAATAGTGTAAAAAAAGATATTAAGATACTATCAATCCTCATGGTTTTGATTTCCATGAAGTGTCTGAACCGATGAGATGTAAATTGGCTGAAAAATCACCTAAAGTCTAAAAGAGAAGCTATTGTTGTCAATTAGTTTCACACTGTTCTGTTTAATTGTATTAAAAAAGACTAATTAAAAGTGAGTGAGCATCAGTGTCTGGTTCAACATCTCATATATCAGTATAAGCAACAAATTGTATGTCAAGTCACTTGTAACACTTGAAAAGTTTAGATGCAAAAACCTCAAAATGCTGTTTCATTTTTTTACTAAAATGACCATTTTTCTCTGACTCTTGTGTTTAGGCTCAGAAATTTTACTTTGATAGTGACGAATAAGTTTGTTTCATTGCCATTAAAGTAAAATACTTAATACATAAACATAGGAGGCTGAGAAAAATGCTCATTTTAGGAGAATATTTCTCATGGCATTTAGAGGTTTTTGCAAGTCTATTCAGGCAGAATAGTACAGCAGAATCAATTATAAATAACTGTTTTTTCATTAGCATGATTGCGTTCACATCAGAAACACAGGAGTGTGCATGAAGCGTATACCCTGACCACCCTTTTTTAGGTGGACTCAGTTACCCTTCACAGAAGAGCACAGTTAAGAAAACACTGTTCCTGTTATGCAAGGGAACCAAACTCTGGCATGAATTGAACCTGACCGGGGACCAAAAGTACTGCTCTTTTAAGTAAATGTAGGAAGATAGAGTCTTCTGTGAAGAGTTGCTTCTTTTTAAGATCATTGAGTGGGGTTAGACTTTAAGATGAAGCTTAGAGTGCTTTCCCAGTGTTTTTACCTCTTTATGATGGCTGGACATTAATAAAACACACTGTGATCTCTTTTGCAACATTTACATAAGCAACATGATCACTTGTTTTTAAAATCTCAAGTTTTAAAAGCAACCCCCCCCCCTCCAATTTTAGTCATTGTGTTTAGTCAGGATATTTTATGACTTCCTTTCTTTTTTGTTAGTCCTGACTTGTTTATGTGTTTAATTTAATTTCAGGAATTTTAACATATATAGCCATAATAGTTTATTGATTTTGGCCACTTTTCATCTGTTTAAATCAGCAATAAGTGAAGTAGCCTGATTGTGGTAGATATCGTAGGACTGCTTGTTAAAATAGACAAAACTATTTTGGCTAAAGGATTATGTTGTTCCACGGAGCAAATGGCTCAGTTCTCATGACATATTTCACATTTTGCTGTTAATTTATTGACCATCAGGCCATCCAAGGTGACTTTTTTCTTCAGTAGAACATTTAAATAAGATTTGAAAAAATCATTGCACAGATCGCTTTTTTCATTTATGCCATACATGTAATATATGACTTTTACAGGTTTCTCATGCCAACCAAGTTTAGTAATAATAATGTAATAGAGGAGATTTCATTTATGGCATATAATGTATAGACGTCAAATATAGCTGATCAAAATGTATATGATCTGTATAACTTTACATTACAGTATAGTTCTTGTTCAAATATCTTTAAGTAAGGTTTATTATTATAATGTTATGGCTTTTGTCCTAAGGAAATAAAATTGGAGAAAGACCCACAGAAGAAAGAAAAACATCCTGATTTGCTTCCAGGTAAATCCCTCACGCAATGTTCCGATCTCTTAGGATTTTCTTTTGTATTATTGTACACTTTTATTGTACACTATTGTTGTATACTTTTTTGTGTAAGAGAGTACCTAAGGGTATCATTTTCATTTTAGACAGTAGTTCCCATAGATCTCATTTCATGTAGTCAGGGTTATTTGCACAGATTCAGAAAAGGTGGTGATGTGCTGAAACACTGACAGTGTTTCATTAAAGCGATGCACACCACAAAACAAAACAACAGGTCCCGACAGTCTCTGCTATTGTTATTGTAAGCTGACATTACTAATGTGTTGCTTTTTAGGTGAAGTGGTGTTCTGCAGTGCCAATCCCATTCTCAAATACACTCAAGATGACCTCTCCCAGCGTGGCGTCTTTGGCACTTTGCTCTGCACCAATTTTCGTGTTGCTTTCATCAGTGATGATGCACCACAGGAAGAGATGGTAAGGACAGTTGACCGGGCACAACAAACCTTACTAAACCTAACCTTTGTGCAGAAATGTACAAATAAGATAATCATAAATTTGACACCAGTTGACAACATTGTAAAATAAATAAAAATTGCCTTCTGTTCAGAGCAATATAATCAACTTATAAACTTTGTATAATAAAAAAGCTTATTCACATGTACTGAGTGAATAGCAGAATAACTGTCACCTATGACACAGTCTACAATTTGTGATTCAGACTAACCAATCAAAGAACCACATTGTTTTTTTTTTTTTTTTTTCACATTCGTGAGCTTCCTCTATATACAAAGCAGTATTTTTGTACATGTAGTGTGGTTTGAAAGTAACTTGTGATCTAGATGCTTACAGGTCAAAGATGAAAAGGGGATTTCAAGCATCTTAGTTTTAAAATATAGAACAGCTAGCCTTTTATTAGGTTTGAAAAATAATGTAAAAAGATAATGACTATCCTATATTCTTTCCAACAAAAGACTCCCACTAAAGTGTCTTCTGTAAAACGTGCATATAACCAAAAATATTGTCAGGCATGTTTTGATCTTTATATTTCACTACTTCACCACACTATCCTTCAAGCTCTTAAATTTTATGCATTTGTAAACTTGACTGTTTTATTGATAAAAGTGTGTGTGTCTGTCTCTGTGTGTGTGTGTGTGTGTGTGTGTGTGTGTGTGTGTGTGTGTGTGTGTGTGTGTGTGTGTGTGTGTGTGTGTGTGTGTGTGTGTGTGGCACAGTGGGTAGCGCTGTCGCCTTACACCTTACAGTAAGAAGGTCGCTGGTTCGAGTCTCGGCTGAGTCAGTTAGCGTTTCTGTGTGGAGTTTGCATGTTCTCCCTGCGTTCACGAGGGTTTCTTCCGGGTGCTCCGGTTTCCCCCACAGTCCAAAGACATGTGCTATAGGTGAATTCGGTAGGCTAAATTGTCTGTAGTGAATGAGTGTGTGTGGACGTTTCCCAGAAATGGGTTGCGGCTGGAAGGGTATCCGCTGCGTAAAAACGTGCTGGATAAATTGGCGGTTCATTCTGCTGTGTTGGCTCCAGATTAATAAAGGAACTAATCTGAAAAGAAAATGAATGAATGAATTGTTTAATAATTCATTTCTAATAACTGATTTATTTTATCTTTGCCATGATGACAGTAAATAATATTTGACTAGATATTTATCAAGACACTTCTATACAGCTTAAAGGGACATTTAAAGGCCTAACTAGGTTAATTAGGTTAACTAGGCAGGTTAGGGCAATTAGGCAAGTTATTGTATATCGATGGTTTGATCTTTAGACTATCAAAAAAAGAGATAGTTTAAAGGGGCTGATAATTAAAATGGCTTTTAAAAAAAATTAAAAAGTGAAATAAAACAAATAAGATTTTCTCCAGAAGAAAAAAATATCAGACATACTGTGAACATCTCCTTGCTCTATTAAACATCATTTGGGAAATATTTTAAAAAGAAAAAAAAAAATTCAAAAAGGGCTAATAATTCTGACTTCAAGTGTGTTGTGTGCGTGTGTGTGTGTGTGTGTGTGTATATATATATTTATATATATATATATATATATATGTATGTCTGTGTGTGTGTGTGTGTGTGTGTGTGTGTGTATATATATATATATATATATATATATATATATATATATATATATATATATATATATATATATATATATATATATATATATATATATATATATATATATATATATATATATATATATATATATTAGGGGTGCAACAGATCACGGTTGATCCATGATTCGTACAAATCACAACCAATGATTCGGAACATACATGACCCATGAATTAGGCTAACCTTTTTAACTTGTAGATTAATCCTATATTTCTAAGGATCACAGAGAGAGATAGCCTCTCGTGTCATTCAAATCGCCTGTATCAAATTACATCATCGGGATCTCAACACAGACGCAGCCTAAATTATAAATGATGGTGATTTGCATATGTTAAATAATCCTTCCAATTGCTGCATTCAAATCTGAAAATGCAAAAAATCAAGAAAGAGATTCAGTCTTTAGTCTAGGACTAACTACAATTTTTAATTCATACATTACATTGAATATAGCGTTATCAGCAACAGTTGTAGTAACAGTGAATTTTTCACAGTACTAAATATTTTACTATGTACTTTTATTCAGTTCTGCTTTATTTATTTTTAAATCATTTAAAATATTCTGACTTTTTAATGTCACAGGTATTCGAAACATTAAAGTGGACTCTTTACCTGCTTTCTATTTACATAAATAAAACTGTTAATTTAATTTGATACATAAACCAAAATGGGACGTCTATGATCATCTCATTACTCATTCTGTGCAAATGAAGTTTGGCAAGGTGCATTTCCTCCCGTTTCAGATGGGTCAGAGTGCATGGCTAGATGTGTTAATATTTTATTACAAGTGTGCTAAATAACTGAATTACATTGGCCTCCGAACTACTAATGCGGTATGATTTTGCAGGATTTTATTGTGCTAAACACCACAGTGTTGCATATCACGCACATGGAGTCTGCATACAACAGGGGTGTCCAGACTCTGTCCTGGAGGGCCGGTGTCCTGCACAGTTGAGCTCCAACTTCTTTCAACACACCTGCCTGGAAGTTTTTAGGAGTTTGATTAGCTGGTTCAGGTGTGTTTGATTGGGGTTGGAACTAAAATATGCAGGACACCGGCCCTGGCATACAAGAAACAAACCCCATGAAATTAGCCCCAATGTTAGTAAAAGGAATCCAAATGTAGTTTTTAGAAAAAATGTAAAATCTTAATATAGCCTATATTTGCCTAAAAAAGCTCTAGAAACTGGTGTGGCATTAAATGCAAACAAACAAGCATGCGCATGCTAGAGATTGGACCACAGTGGTTTTTTGGTCAAAGACAGTGTATGTAGTAGGGCTGCACGATATTGGAAAAATCTGGCTTTGCTTTGTTAGACAAGGAGAGAATTTTTGGTCAATCTTTAATTTAAGGTTCAGAATGACTTGAATGACTGTGACGAAACTGTTGGAGATTGAATCATGCATAACATGTAATAAACAAACTACAAGCATGGATGAATACAACAAAGCAAAGATAAAAGTGAAATAACAGTGCAAACGTTGTGGATTTGTATATGTAAATGTAAAAATTACACTGCAATGCACACATTGCGATATCGATGCTGAAACGATATATTGTGCTGCCCTAATGAGAAGATTTTCTGGCTTCAAAAGATTTATAGACAAAGGAAGATCTGCTAACATACTTTTTTTTTCATACAAGTCAGGCGTCAACAAATGCTACAGCTAAATGTGTAAATAGAAATGAGTGTGAATACAGCCATTTAATAGACTTGAGTTTGCAAAATGCATCCTCTGTGACCATGCATGAGGAACTGTGCCGCGAGTGCTCTCACTTTAGCTGCCGTTTCAGGAACTTGAGTGTCTGACACACTTGCAGTGAAATTCTGGTGGGAAAGCAGTCTCTTAGAGCAGATTCAAATGATCAGGTATTCATCAAGTGCCAGGTACTTTGATTTCAGGTTGATTTTGGTTTTTATTTTAGTTTATTATTTTGCATGTTGACAGAGATGTGAATGTAAATGTTGCTAATCACTGATCAGAAATGTAAAAAATGCTGAAAAGCTAAATTTGGTCAGAGAGTGTTAGTTAGTATTAAGAGGTTTCATCAGATACTTTCAGGCTTATGTTTGAGGCTGGCTAAACAGGAAGTAAAGTGTGTTTCACAGTTGATTTCACACACAAAAAAAACGAGAGAGAGATTGATATAGCACATTGAACAAAGCTATTATGCCTGCCTTTCCTGTTACTGTAAACTCACTGTATAAAGACACATCTCTCTCATCTTGCATAATGATTGTTTACCTGGTATTGTCTAGATTGTGACAGCTGTGTTGCTCACATGTTTTCAGTCCAAGACCTTCAAGAACAAACTCTATGGTGAAAATGACATTCCATTAATGTGTGTGGATCACATCTATGGTGGTAATAATTGTATTTTTACTTGTCATCAATATTGATTGTTACTGATCTTTTCATATTTTAGATCTGTTGGTTTAAATGTTTGACTTAAATGCTTCTTTTCTTTTAAAGTTTATGATGAAAAGAGGAAACTGATAACAGGAGGCCTTGTGAAGAACAAATGTCCATCCAAAATGATCATTCACTGTAAAGATCTTCGAGTCTTTCAGTTCTGTTTAACATTCTCCAAGGAGGAAGATGCCAAAAGGGTAATGCATACACAAGGAATGAAGTGAGGGCTGAATGTGTTTTTACATGTATGTTATTTCAATAAGTGTTACAAATCTCCTTTTGCATTTGTTTGCATGTTGTTTTGTCAGATCTTTCAGGGAATTGCTCACCATTGTTTGGAGGAAAAATCTCTCAAGTGTGTTTTTGCCTTTTCTTATTTAAGGTCAACGAACCCAGGTACATATTTTAGCACTTGTATACGCTTTCATTTCAACAGCATTACTATTATTATTATTATTACTATCTAGTTTTATTAAAATTTTACTGCGGTTGACCTAGATGCTGTTTTCACCTGTTATTTAAAAGCATTCAGATATATCTCTACCCAAGTTTTTTTCGGCTGTTCAACCACATTTCGTGGCATTCAACCACATGAGAGTTGTTGACTTGTGATCGAATTGAGAAAAAAACATCCTTATTTCAGGTATAATATCAGGCCTGAGTACAGCTATTCAGAAAATCCAGCAAACACATGTAAACTACAATGCGACACGAGGGAAAACGTCACTGTGGAAAAATTTATTCAGTAACACTTATGTAGAACATGAGTTTTGTTTAAGTCTAAAAGTCAGTCTTGTTTCACCTACTGCTATACTCTTATTATTGTCTCTACAAATGGAGCTCAATGAATAACTGAAAGAACAAGTCAGTCTCTTTTTGATGATAAATTCCTGATCGTCTTTCTGGGTTGTCTTTATGCAAATGTTTATTGGATTATTGCTGCATCCTGCTTTTATTCTGTTTAACATTTCTTTTTTTCTGTATTATCATATATATTACCTGTAGGAAACATACTTTTTCCTTTCTATATGCACTAGATACTTTCCTATAAGTTACCAATAACTCCATGTTACATTGACTCCATAGTATAGCAATATAGCTATAAATGAATAGATTGTATAAATATCTCATTTTATAACTGCAGACTGGCTATTTATACAATTGACAGCTGTACTGTCCACCCTACTTGCACTTTCCATTTTCTGATTTTGACTGTAATGTAATAATGTGCACCTTTGTTTTGGAACAATAATCATCATGAAAGCACTATTCAAATAAATAGGGATAGACCGATTGACTGATAAAAAAAAAACACTTCTGGATGATTTTTGTTAATTTGTTGGGTTCAGTTTGGCCGATCTTTCTCCGAATTTGCTTAAAAACTGTACTAAAACTTTAAAAACTTTATACTACTGTACAAAGTCATTTTTTGACCGATCAGATCAAAAAACATGATTATTCTTAGAAAACCTTAAGCTTTGTTAATTCAATTTTTTCATGATTTCCTAATATTTTCCACATTAAATACTGTACAGATCATATTTGTGTTTGTTCAGTTTTCTGTACAGCTTATTAAGTCGACCATTTGGGTTAATATTTTTGGTAAATTTAGGTAAACACTTATATACAAATATTACAATATATATAGTCAGAATTATTAGCCCCCCTTTGAATTTTTTTCTTTTTTAAATAGTTCCCAAATTATTTTTAATAGAGCAAGGAAATGTTCACAGTATGTGTGAAAATCTTTTTTTCTTCTGGAGAAAGTCTTATTTGTTTTATTTCGGCTAGAATAAAAGCTGTTTTAATTTTTAATAAACATTCTAAGGTCAAATTATTAGCCCCTTTAAGCTATATTTATTTTCAATAGTCTACAGAACAAACCATCGTTATACAATAACTTGCCTAATTACCCTGACCTGCTTAGTTAACCTAATTAACCTAGTCTTTAAATGTCTCTTTAAGCTGTATAGGAGTGTCTTGAAAAATATCTAGCAAAATATTTACTGTCATCATGGCAAAGATAAACAAAGATGGTGTGGGATGGCGGCAGGGTTTCGCGAACGAAGGACAAAATTATTCAAATTATCAAAATTATTATGTTCTGTCATCATGGCGAAGATAAAACGAATCACTTATTAGAATTTATTTATTAAAACTATTGTTTAGAAATGTGTTGAAAAAAATATCTTTTTGGGGAAAAATAAACGGGGGCTAATAATTCTGACTTTGACTGTATACAATGAAAGCTTATTTTAGGCTCAGCAAGTATTGAAATGTTAAAATTATCTGGTGTGTAGTCTAGAAGGAAAATAATGACATATGATATAAAGCATAATTAATTTTTTAACTGATGCTCCCTAGACCATGGCAAATCTTCCAGAAAGTGTATTACTCGACTAGATAGCAAATCTGGTAAGGAATTTTGTTGAAAAGCCTTATTTTTGTGATTTAATAACTATATGATTTGTGACAACATAGTGTTGGAGTGTCCTATCAGCTCCACTAAAGTTTTATTATAATTTATTTTTAAACAATCATTTTATATAGTATTTAACGCAATTTAGTCAACTATGAAACCACATCAGATGCCAGTTGTATTTGCAGAAATGCTGAGAAAACGAGAGGCAATTATGTTCGACTCACCAGAGGATTGGACCCAGGAAATGAAACGGACCAAAGCACAATGTAGATTAGTCACTGAAAATGAGAACTTTGAACTGTCTCAAAGGTATTTCATGCTGTTTTTGTTAGGTGTAAAGTATCTGATAAAGTGTTGCTACTGTTTATATTACAAGGTTAAAGTAGTAATCTATTGTAGGCTTTGTGTACTACTGACCTAGATTTTACTGATCAAGTCGGCACTGTTTATTTTTGTGGAGTTCATTTAAAAGTGCAGTGAAATATGTCATTTTTTTTAAACGACCAGTTAAAAAAAAACTTATAAATAATATTTAGTGTGATCTGTAATGTTTCATGTTAAAAATATTAATAACAATAAAAAAAGCATTGCTTTGACATTGTCTTTAGGTTGCCACAGTACTTTGTCATCCCATCAGCACTGGGTGATTTATTCAACTATCAGGGGAAGGGACTACCAGTGAGTTAAGGATATTAATTGAACAAAATATAAGCCTTAAAACTATTTTTTATGAACTCTATTATTTATAATATTTGATATTGTTATGTTGGTTTTTGTATGCAAATTGTCATTTGTATAGTTCATTTATAAAGATAACTGAAGCCAAATGTTGTTGTCTTCTTTAGATCTGGTGCTGGTCTCATCACAGCGGTTGTGCTCTCTTCAAAGCATCTTTCCCATCTATGACACAGGAAGATGGGGATTTTCAAAGCCACTTGGACACGTGAGAAAATACAGTTTTAGTCTGCCATTTATGTCTGAATTCAGACGGACAGCTGCGATTTCATCATGGTGGCATGAGGGGCTGTGCTTTTAAGTGCTGACACTCAAGGGCATCAAAGAAAAACATGTTGTAACGTTATCTAACATTGCTCTTAACACCATCATGAACCAGTAGAGCATTTCTGTGTTGTGCTACTCTGTGATGAACTCAAGGACCAAAACTAAATTGTATTATGTCTACTGTTATCTGTTCCAGAATGATTACTGCAGTCGCACGGAACTACCTTTATTCAGTAAAAACAGAAGACCTCTCTGAATCACTTCCTACTCTCCAAGACATCCAGCAGTCATATAACAAGTTCAAACAATACTTTCTCATCGGTGAGCCACTGGAAAAGGGCAGAAATAATCTCAAGTATTTAATTAATGAACACATATATTGTTTTTTAAATTGCTGTGTAATGACTTTTCTGATTTGTTTCTTAGATAATACAACAGATTTTTGGTTATCAGATGTTAAATGGTTCTCTTCTCTTGAGAGCTCAGGATGGCTGGACATCATTAGGTCAGTTTACTTGAAGAAAGCCTGAAATTGTGTGATTTACTCTATGAAACTATTCACAAACTGTTTTTAATGTCCTCAACAGACAATGTCTCCAAAAAGCAGTAGAGGTGGTGGAATGTCTTGAAAAAGACAACACAAATGTTCTTATAACGGGTAGGTCAAGCATGCTTAAAGTATATCGACTTTAGTGGTCCTACATGTCATCTTCTGGGTTAGCCAGTCATGTCAGTTTGGGTTATCCGTATTGAAATAGATTTTTGACAATTACTGTTAAACCTTTAACGGTTCAAGACACATTGGAGTACTTTTTTAAAAAAAAGTCAGTCAGGACAATGTTAGCACCTGTCAGCTTTAATTGTGGGGAAAACTGGATAATTTTGAGCTTTTGTCAGCTTATTTCAGCTTCTGGGTTTAAAATCATTTTTGGATCGAGATCAAAATTGGTGGCGTTTCGCGAATCTGCTAATCAAGTGATGATGTGTTGGATTCTCAATATTATTCACAGCAGACTTTTCCTATCCTATGAGAACACCCTGCTTGACTGCAAGTGCTTTCTGAAAGCAAGGCAGACTTGCCTAGCTGTGAGACCCAATGATTGGGCGAGACTGCGTCTGTGCACAGCACGGGTCGTATGTGTTTGTTTCCTTGTCATCTGGGTTTGTTGCATGTGTTTCCCCACGATGCTGTCAGGGCCGATACAGCAAAGATATTGGTTTGCAGCAAGCAGTTTTGTCGGGAGAGCTGTATGAGAATTGGAGAATAGCAAACTTTAGCTGCATCCTAAATCGCATACTTATGCACTATTCTACGCCATTTTGTAGTATGAATAGTGTAAGTAGTGCGTTCACACTGGAAACTCTAAAAATAATAAGTGCACTTTAATTACCCGGATGATGCACTCGTTCAGCTTGTAAAATGAAGTGTGTAATGATGGACACTTCACGCATTCAACGACCACAGGTTTGCCCACATAGCGTATGGGGTGGAGCTATCGGTCGCACATGTTCATTCATTCATTCATTTTCTTGTCGGCTTAGTCCCTTAATTAATCCGGGGTCGCTACAGCAGAATGAACCGCCAACTTATCCAGCAAGTTTTTACGCAGCGGATGCCCTTCCAGCCGGGAAACGTCCACACACATTCACACACTACAGACAATTTAGCCTACCCAATTCACCTGTATTGCATGTCTTTGGACTGTGGGGAAACCGGAGCACCCGGAGGAAACCCACGCGAAGGCAGGGAGAACATGCAAACTCCACACAGAGCCGAGGTTCGAACCAGCAACCCAGCGACCTTCTTGCTGTGAGGCGACAGCAGTACCTACTGCGCCACTGCCTCGCGGTTGCACATGTTGGATAACTTTATTTATTTTGGATGGTAAAAGCTAAATTATCTTACGAGAGTGATTATAGCGAATTATTTGATAATTCATTTGTTTATTTCACTGATTTGGCAACCGTTAAACGTCATTAGGGAAATGGTTTGAATTTCCGCTTAGTAAAAAAAACATTAGTGCTTCATTTGGGGCGACACTACATACATGTACTATCTTGTTGAGTGTGTAAGTGCATAAGTACATAGTGCATGAGTGCACAGTGTATAGTGTGCCATTTGGGACGCAGTGTTTGTCTTTTATCAGTTGACTTTGTTACCATTCAGACACCTCGCCTATATCCGTTAAATCAGTTATTAGAAATGAGTTATTAAAACTATTATGTTAAGAAATGTGAAAGTATTTTGTATTCGTTAAACAGAAATTGGGGGGAAAAAATAAACGGGGGCTGATAATTTTGACTTCAACTGTATGAGCAGAAAGCAATTTGTTACATAAATAAACATGGCATGGCTCATTTAAAGTATCTAATAGTAGAGCTGGGATGTAAACATCCACAGCTGTGTCTGCACCAATAGCCTAGTGGGCAGTGCGGCAAAGCTTTCCTGACTATCTCTCTCTAACTCCATCAGCATCTCCAACTTTTCTTCCTGTTTAGCTATTGCCCTGTCAGAATTAAGGCAAAAAGTTAAATCTTTTTATAATAGATAAATACTTTTTTAAATAACTGTTATTTTCACACCATTGTCATTTGAGTTGTTTTTATTTTGATATAGAAAGGAAAGTGCAGCACATATTTTACATACCTAAACATTTTACATCTCTTATCTCTTGTGCAGTGTCTGGAATTTTTTAACAGTATATAATCTTATCAACAAAAAATAAAAATAAAAAATATAAAAATGCAGCAAATAAATCAGGTCCTTTTTTTCACTTTTAAAAGAAATACTTTTAAATCTGGCAAGATCTGTCCCTGTGACTTTGAGATTGTATCAGCTGATGTTTTGTGGTGTTATTGATTGTTCACAGAGGAAGAGGGGACAGATCTGTGCTGTGTGATCTCCAGTCTGGCTCAGATAATGCTGGACCCGTATTACAGAACACTGATGGGTTTCCAGAGTCTGGTGCAGAAGGAGTGGGTGGCTGGTTGCCATGCCTTCCTGGATCGATGCAATCACCTCCATCAGAAAGACAAGGAGGTAATTATTGCATGCTTGTTATAGCCTGTTGTTTCTTCAGAGGCTTAGAGGAAAGGTTACTGTTTTATACTTTCTCTTTTTTTTGTTGTTGTTAACCTTTGATATCTGCAAGCTGTTCTGCAACCAGAAATACAAGTTGCAAACCTGTCTTTAATCAGGTTACAAAATTATGTCAATTGTAATCATGACATGTTCGTCTGGAATAATTAAGCATAAATTGCCTCAGAGGCTAGGTTGAAACAGTCAATTTTTTCTTTTTTTGATCCACAGGAAAATTTATTTTATACTATATTAAATCATATACTGACCTTTTGAGATCTTTGTTGAATTCTTCAGTGTGAATTAAACTTGTTTTTAAACCCAATGTTTTATAGCATAATATATGCAACCCATAATGTTTTGGAGAAAACTGCAATTATCAGAGTCACGTCAGCAACGTGCCCAAAATAGATGTTTAGCCCTGCCCACTACCACGAAGCACTGTGAATAACATAACCCATTCTCATAATTCTATACCTAAACATGAACAGTTCAAATGCAAAAGCCTATAAGTGCCATCTGAATTCGTCTACAATTAGGATTTTTCTCAGGCTCCACATGTGTGTAGGTTCAGTTACTTCAGTTTTAAGATGAGGAATAAGTTAATTTCATTGCCTTTATTGAGAAATAACTGAATATAAACATAATAGCCTTAAAAAACTATATGGCACGTTTGAATCTAAACTCTTTATATGCACATTTACTGTTGATGCACATTATTAGCATCTGTTGGCACAGAGCTAGTATGACAGAAATTGATTGGAAGGATTGGTTGATCTCATACGAGTAGCTGGTTGTTCTCCCATGTTCCTGTACAAAAGACAAAAAAACTCTTGGCAAGAGGAAGCAGAAGTTATTTTGATAAAAAATGATGAGAGCATGAACTGAAATAGAAATTTGTACCGCTAACTAATTTATTTGAGATACTTCAGTGTTCCATAATTAAGCAGGGATGTCAGTTCTGAGTTCATAATGACGAGTTTAATTGTTGTTTGTCATCATGTAGTGTCATTCTCCAGTCTTCCTCCTGTTCCTGGAGTGCGTGTGGCAGCTTGTTCAGCAGCACAGCCCGGCTTTCCAGTTTTCCGAAACCTACCTGACTGTGCTATCTGACAGTGTTCATGTGCCAATCTTCAGCACCTTTCTCTTCAACTCTGCTCATCACCGAGAAAGTGTAATGAAGGTATTGTAGAACTTCTGTACTTGATTTTATGGAGTAGGCTGAGATTTGTTATTAAACTGATTAAACTTTACAGGGATACTTCATCCAAAATTTTAATTTTGTCATCATTTACTGCCTCTCCACTAGTTCCAAGGCTGTTAGAGTTTCTTTTTTCTGTTGAACATAAAAGAAGATATTTTGATAAATGTTGGAGACCAGTAGTCAATAACTTCCTTTCTAACCAATGTGTTTCGTGGTTACTGGTTTACAGCATTTTTCAAAATATCCTCTTCTGTGCCCAACAGAAAAAGCTCCTTAAAGTATGAAACCATTTTAGGGTGTTTAAATGGGCAATGGGGCAACACAATGGTTTAGTAGTTAGCACTGTCTCCTCACAGCAAGAAGGTCGCTGGTTCGAGTCCAGGCTGGGTCAGTTGGCATTTCTGTGTGGAGTTAGCATGTTCTCCTCGTGGCTTGCGGTACAGGTCAATTAAATAAACAAAAATTTTGCTCTAGTGTATGTGTGTGTGGGTGTTTCTCAGTGATGGGTTGCAGCTAGAAGGGTATCCGCTGTGTAAAACATATGCTGGATAAGTTGGTGTTTAATTTCGCTGTGGTGACCCCTGATAAATAAAGGGACTGAGCTGAAGGAGATTGAATAAATGAATGCATAAATGGGTAAAACAGTTTGGGTGAGCTGTACTGTAAAGTTAGTTTACTACACAGTTTTTTTATGTTGTGTACTGCTAGATGTCTCTTTAGATGTACTGTGGCTAAAAAGAAAACAGTCAGCCTTCTGTAAAGCAGTCATTAGTCTACATGTACAGTCGTACGCCTCTCTGTAACTGCCTGTACTTGATTGTCTTGGCAGGCCGAGTCACCGATTGCACAAAGCAGGCCATTGAGCTGCCCTACAGTGTGGGACTGGTCGGTGCAGTTTGACAGCAAGGCCCAGAATTTCTTCTTTAACCCTCTGTATTCAGAGAAGGTGAAACATGAGAGAACTGTTCGTAGACCTCACAAACACAAGGTAAGAACATGAAATCCTAACATTAACCATCTCTTACATTTTACACTGTTTAATAATGTAGATGCAGATATGATCAAATGACCTCCTTAAGGACTGTGTTTACATCATATAATATATGACTGTAATTATATTTTAAGTGATATACCGGTAAGTGCAAATGTTTTATAGCAAAACTATTCACAGACCCAGATTTATAAACTTTAAAATCAACACAATAGCAAGAAACTGAATGAAGTTTAATACAATTTAAAACTAAAAACTTTAAAGCTGAGAGTCCTTTTGTTATAACTGAAATATACACTACCAGTCAAAAGTTTGGGGTCAGTTTTTTTTTCATGTTTTTAAGAATATTATTCTGTTCATCAAGGCTGCATTTACTAAATGTAAAAAATGTTAAATATTTCTTAAAACTTCAAATAACTGCTTTGTTATTGTATGTAGGTTCAAATGAAATGATCACTCTAGTCATTATTGGTTTTGTTACTATTACCATTAATAATAATAATAATAACATTAATAATTAATATCGGAGTGATTTCTGAAGGATCGTGTGACTTTGAAGACTGGATAAATGAAGCTAAAAAAAAACTTTAAAATCACTGGAATAAATTATTAAATTAAATGATGAACTACTTTTGAACAGTTATTTTTTACTGTAATAATATTTCACAATTTTACTAATTTGTACTGTATTTTTGATTGAATAAATGCAGCCTTGGTGAGCAGGAGAAGCTTATTTTAAAACAGTTAATAATCAGACTGACCCCAACTTTGTACATTACAGTTTAGTTTAGCTAGTAGCCAAGTATTTCTGTATTTAAATTAAATATAATTTGATGTTAAAAAATAAACCACAAAAATGAACTAATCTAAATGACAAACACACAATAAAATTGATAAATGAACTAGAATTATAATGAAAAAAGTGGAAGCTAACTATAATGGATTCTTAATGATACCAAAAACCACTGCTGCGAAAAACATTTAATATAGTCGGTTTATCAGTCTCTGTGAAGCACTGCAGGATGTATTAGCATTTATGCACATCATTACTTTAATAAACCACAAAACACATTGTTCAGTAATCAGTTGCACTTGAATAAATGTCACAATAGGGAAGGACAAAAACTTCTATTTCATCCTGACATAAAAACACACAAAGATCTTATTTCACTTTAACCTTTTGGTTCAAAATGAAAACAAATACATTTTTAGTATGTCAGAAAAATCTCTAAAATGTGTGTGTTCAGATAAAAGGTCAGATGTAATAAGATCATAGCTATGCACTGCTAGAGTTTTTCAGTGTTTTGGTGACATCTACAGTCAAGAGGGAAATTACAAGTGACATCTTACACCATTTTGTTTCTTTTTGCTTTTAATTTGTTTGAATTATACTCTGCTTTTCTTTTTGAATAATTCACAGTGTGTTTTTGCATGCATATTTAATTGATTTTGATTTCAAATCTATAGCACCAAAGGCAGTTATCCTTGCCCAGCTCAGCTTTCAAAACCCCAACCAAGAAAGGCTTCTTCAAAGACGAGACCGACAGCCTTAAGAAGATGCTCCGAGTGAAGCGTATCAGTCGCTGGATGGGCTCTCCAGACTCTCCCGTCGTCGCCAGCAGAGAGTTTTACGAGTCCTGGCAGCAGCGTCCCCTGGACTATCACGGGCTCCTGCTGCCCTCTTTGGACGGACCGTCTGTCCGCATCTGGATGCAGCGCTACCTACGCTGGATCCCTGAAGTGCACATCATGGGTGGAGGCTCGGTGGCCATCATGACCAAGCTGATGGAGCTGCTGAGTCAAGTGGAGGATCTGAAGCGTGTGCTGGAGCAGAGAGACCCATCGCTGGCCACTCAACCCGATCACCCTCCACCTCTTCACCATCGGCTGCCCTCATTCGGTTCCTCAGGACGACTCTCATCCTCGTTCCCCTTCACTTACAGCCGCAACCGTTCCTTCAAACCCATCATTCCCACAGGTCTAATGCAAAGCCTCATGGTGGCCGATAATCTGGCCAATCAGGAGGACGAGACCAGTTAGGCTGAGAGTTTGGTTTAATAGGAAATCTGTTTCCATCCATTAATGGTTATATTATTTAATAAGTATATTATAAGGTAGATACAGGATTAAAGTGGCCTTGAAGGTGTATAAAGTGCCTTTGGTGCTAAAGCGGGTCTTTTTTTGAAGTAAAACAGGGTTTTGTTCAACTAAATGTGCCCTACTGTATTGAAAACATAACATGAAAATTTAGACAGGATGTAGACTTTTTTTTTTGTGGAAGTTTTTTTAAGAACAGTACCTAGTATTTTCCTCTTGCTCATCACAAAACAGGAACAGGATACAGGCTTGAACATCCAGGCTTTCCATTGTGTAAAGTGTTACTTAAAAGGGATATCGGAATAGCTGTTGTCAATTTGTTCTCCCTCAGATCATTCAAGATGCACCCTTTTTCTAAATAAGAACATTTTTACCTGGTAATAATGTGGTCCTTGGTGACTACTAAAGTGTAAGTCTACAGCTTCCTGGACTTGGAAATGTTAAAAAAACATATACGGGAAAATCTAAATTTATCCTACTGATTACTGATGATTTGTTAAGCACAGGGAACTTGTGCTCCAGAGGCACTCAGGTTGGTTTTTCAAGGATATGGAAAGAATGTTCAGTTTGTTTTTCATTCAGTTATGCTTCACATGGAGCCACAGATATTAAATGTTTTGCCTATATATGTTTTTTTTTCACCCTCAAAGTGTTGTTAGCTGTTGACATGCATTTTAAAAATCAGCAAGTACCATAGGTTGAGCTAAAAATCTTCATTGTTCTACTGAAGGAAAAAAAGTCACCTTTGCGTTTTAGATGGCATGAGGGTCAGTATATCAACAGCAAATGTTCATTTTTGGATTACTAAACATTTAAAATCGATACCAAGTAACATTCCATACAGTATTCCATTACAGTGATCAGAATGAGCTTATTTTGAATAATAGAAAAGCTCAATCCAGCTTGTTTTCAGCTTTTTCTGGCAGGGAGAACTCTGAAATGTTGTCAACCTTCAGTTATATAAATGTTGAATGTGTGAAGAAGAACTTAGATTTTTTTAAGACCATTATATGAAAACAGGATGTATAGAACGACACACGTCAGTTTCAGTGCTCTATTGCAAAACACACATTGTTTTGTGTGAATCGGATCTGTCCATCAATAGGCTGTCTTTTATTTCATTCAGCCTTAGCTGCTATCATTTTTAGAACATTATGCGATCAGTTCACACTTTTAGAACAAAGGAGCACAAACAAATATTACTAACTTTATTACAATGAAATTGTAAGGACATGATATTGGTGATGCAAACCATTCATTTTTTTATTTTTTTTTGTGATGATATAGATCAACCAAGCATCAGCATCACCATGGGTATTTTAGTCAGTGCTTACACAGATACAACAGTGGTGTTTGTGTGGAACTCTATATATGTATGGATCTAACAACAATAAATGTATGTGTATAAAACTAAATAAATTAGAAATAATTTTATACGGTAAGATAAAAAAATCATCATAAACTGCTAATCCTTGTAACTATTGAAACATAAGCTATTGTCATACAGTATCTGCGTTTGTGCACATTTTCTTCTGTTTTTCTGCGGTGCCTACAGAACTACTGCCCCAAATTAACAGGCACTTCAGTCACATATTGTCTTCAGTGTCTGTTGTGCATCACTTTCTGTGTTTTTCTGCTGTTGTAATGTACTGAAACTGATGTAAGCTCCTGAAAGCACTGAACAGCTGGCAGAAGTGTGGAGAAAGCAGTTTCCTGACCATTTTTGTGTTTTTGTTTGCATTTTTCACTTTTGTTTTGCACTACTGCTCTTTGCCAGTCAGTCACTGTTACTTGAACAGTCAGATGTGAGTCTGGTTCTGTTCACTTCAGTTCATCACTGCTCTTGTGTTTGACAAGGTGAACTTGAAACTTACAGAAACGTATTACTGTATCATTTTTTAAAATATTTTTCTATAACTAACTTTAAAGTTCATATTATGAGAGTTTGGCTTTGGATGTGTATGAAATATTGCTTTATTTTGGAACATTGATTTTGAGATTATTATTTTCATGTAAAAGTAGCAAATACTTTTTATACTCACTTGAGAAATATGTACCTTTCACTTTATGGCCACAAAATATGATTGAAATAAAAAAATAGATCAGTACTTTGCAATCATGATCAGTGTTTTATTGCTATGTTTATTTTATTGTTATTCTACTTGAATGTGCATATTAACAAAGCATTTTTGTTGTTTTAGTAGGATTTTGATTTGTGTGTGTGTAATTTTTTTTATTGTAAAGGACATTTAAATGATATAATTATATATATATATATATATATATATATATATATATATTTAATTGTGTTTTTTTTTATTAGCCACAATTAATACGTTTGAATATTAATATTAACGTTTCATATTTCACTTTAATTTAGTAAAATGCTTACAGTGTTAATTAACAAAATGGGCTAGTTAATTAAATTAAATAGATACTACCTAAATATTATGAAAAATGTAGTCTCGGTATGTAGTTCGGCAGGTTTTGGGACACAACCCGAGTACTGGGATGCCACATCCACTGCTGTTCCCGTCACGTCTGGACTGGTCGCCATATTAAACCTGACGGAATCGGCGACGGTCCGCGGTAGGGATCGCGAGGGGGCCCTTTCCAAAACAAATCCCGATATACACCTTCGTTTTCCCTTTTCGCCCCGGAAATTATTTATGCATCGGACTGAATAAGGCAGTGTGTTCTCAGACAGGGGTTGTCTGGGACGGAGGTTTTGTTTTAGTGTGTTTGAGAGAGAGAGAGATGAGTACTTTGACCCAGCGGAGCTCCGGCCTGGTGCAAAGACGCACCGAGGCTTCGCGCAGCGCTGCGGCCGCAGACAGAGAACGCGGATCCGGTGACGAGGATTACGAGCCTCGTCGCGGAGAAGAGCCGGAGGACGATGACAGCGGCGACTCCAAAGAAACCAGACTCACCTTGATGGAGGAAGTGCTGCTGTTGGGCTTGAAAGACCGAGAGGTTATTGTGGTTTTGCTTTATTTTCTCAGTTGTTGTTTCTATAGTCGATGCTTAACGTTAGCATATTATCTCTCACCATCACCCACAGTTGTCGCTCATTTCGATGCTTATAAATTAGCTCTTTCAAAAATAGAAGAAGCTGAATTCTTAAACTTTGATGATTATTATATTTTGTTTATATGTTGGTGACGTTTTGAGATAAAATCAAGCCACATGTTTTCGGTAATGCAATAGCATTTAGCTTGACTTGCACTGCAGCTCCAAGTTCTCTCTTTGACCCTCAAGACTCTCAAAACAAAACGTAGTTCAGTGAACAGAGTTTAAAAAACTGAACGATACCTTTAAATGTCTTAATATTACATATATTGTTTCATGTACCATATGGTAACCAGATTGGCATACACTGATATTGGCATATGTAAGTTACATAAAGCTAATTTTCGTCGCTGTCTACACAATGAGTTTGATGCCGTTTGTGTATTGCATTTTGGTAGATACAATGTTGTTCAAGACGCATGATGTAGGCCATTATCCTAACACCCACGTTCACATTCGTATGAAGCATGTAGATCCAGATACAGCCTGTATAGTCAAAACAATATTTGTTTAGGAACAAGTCCAGCGTAATCTTTATTACAGTGTGTCTTATTAAGGGTCAGATCATCCAGAACCAAGTGAAAATTAAAATGTACTATTTACTGACCCTCAAGCCACCCAATATGTAGGTGACTTTGTTTCTTCAGTATATCCTAAAAGAACATTTTACTGAAAACCAGTGACATTGGATATTTGTAAAATGCAAGTAAACAAAATTAATAGCAGAGGCTTCTGGTGACACATTGAGTTTTTAAAAGATCACACAGAAATGAAAGTTATGTTAAAAACAAGTCCTTGTGCCATTCAATTTTGCCTGAGACATTTGTACATCTTCAGAACACAGATTAGGAGGTTCTCTCTGAGCCTTCTCAGACAGCAATGGTCAAAAGATGTTCAAAGTCCAGAAAAGAAAACAAAACATTGTGAAAACATTGCGTGTGACTTTAGTGGTTCAACTGTAATCATACAAAGCTCTTGGGGCTTGTACCTTAGAGCTGTAAGTTTGTTTATTTTGCACCAGTCTTGGGTTTTAAGTAATGTGCAGGAAGCTTGACTTTAATCACTCATTGTTTGCCATGGTATTATGCAGGAGTTGAACTGAGCTGCCTTTATGGTACCTAAAAGCCTATATTGATGCAAACAAAACTGAATTTAACCGGCTAGTAGCGCTGGACAATATATCGTTTGAGCATTGATATCACAATGTGTGTATCTGCAATAGTCACAGTGCAGGAATAGATTATTTATTAAGAAAAAAGATATTTTCATTTTTTTAAATAATTTATACAATGATGACAATGGTATTTTAAAATTGATTGTTCAATTTCTGGACCTGAATACTATTAAACTCCCCAGAAAACCGTAAAGCACTGCTTATTCCTTTTCTTTTTGCTTGTAATTTATCCAAATGAAAGCAGATGCACTGTATAAAAAAATACTTGATCATTTAAATTTATCTAAATGAATGAAATATTTCCAAATAGAGCTGTTCAAGTCATCTGGTGAGAGATTATATTCATATCTCAATATACATATCACAGAAAAACTAAATATCGCAATGTCAGATTTTTTCAGTATTTGGCTCTACCGGCTAGCCAGCTAATCTGGCTTCATGGTACAGGCCCCTGGAACAACTTTGTTCACCAATCTCTTCTGTATCAGATAAGGGTGTGTTTTTACTATGGGCTATACAGCCAATGCGTGTTGTGCTGCTGAATTATGGCAATACATCATACTGTACATAGTAAACTTACCCTGACCAGATGTGATAGAGAAGTAAAATAAATAAATAAATAACAGTCAGATATATAGTTGTTTTTGTTGTGTTTTTTCCTGACAAAAGTGTCATTGGAGCCAAGTTTGATTACAGTTAAAGGACAGGTGGAATGATTGACAATGTTTTTGGTTCCTTTTCTGGACTTGGAACATCTTTGGACCATAGCTGTCTGTGGAGGATGAGGAAGCTCTCAGATTTCACAACAAATATCTTAATTTGTTTTCAGAAGATGAGAAAAGGTGTTTATTTATTATTTGTAATCCGCAAATGATTCTGGCCATGTTCATGTCTGAAGTGTAAGTGTTCTGACACAGGCTGATGATGTATTTAGTGGACGCAAACTTCAGGAAAAGCTGAAGTACCATTTTAATGAACAATACAGAACACACAATCTTTGTCTGGTTGCTTCTGAGTTTGCAGCCAGCCAAACACATTCATTATCCAAAAGGAAACTTGAGCTAAAAACTGTGATAAAGGTTTTAGGACTCAAATTCTGGTACAGTTTATTTGCATTTTATGAAACATGAAGATAAGATCAGTTTCAGATCGAATCACTTGCATTTTTTTTCTAAAGGAGTCCTGGAGGAGTTCGGCACTGCACAGTATTTTGAAAGTCTTATTCTCTGAAGTACACACTTTAAAACTTAAAATAATGAGCTGATAACATGCAATCAAGTTATTCAAATAATGAAGACGTCCAGTGTATGACGATAACCAGGACTAAGAACAAAGAAATTGCTTTAAGCTCCGTCAAATCATTGGCTGTATTTAGTAGAACACAAAACTCCTGCTGTTGCAGCCATTTATCTATATGTAATCGGATCTAATATTTAAATTAAATTATGTACAGCGATAAAATGTTTTTTTCCCATAAAATTATTGGTAAAAAAATACAACCGAATTTGTATTAGTTATTAGCTTAATTTAAACAGTTTAAATGCTTACAAATGGTAACTAACTTTTGGAGCCTTGTTGTACAGTGTTCTTAAACTAGAATGTAAAGTCCACACTAGAGGCTTAGTAGCTACTAGCTAGTTTGTAACAAAATTTGTACTTCGATTCACCACATGTTCTTAAGGCAAAACGTAGATTGTTGGTCATAAATACGAAGCATTTAAATCATTACACCACTTTAAAATTGTATATATATATATATATATATATATATATATATATATATATATATATATATATATATATAGCATTTATAGGCTATAACTGGCATATGACAATTAAACGACCAGTTAAATTTACATATTACATAGTCGTGAATGGTTATGCTTGCAAAATACACATGAAGTTATCATAATTTTTTTATATCCTACACATGAAAGCAAAAAAAACAGGTAAAATAACTCCATCATAAAGAAATTATCATTTTATTTGCTAAACACAATTAACACAAAACACTAAAAAAGAAAGATAATTAAAGTCTTCCTCATAAACTAAAAACAAAATGCTAGATTTGGGAGGAAAATAAGGCTGTGGCTCTTCAATGTAAGCTGCCTTAAATATTTAGTAGTGCAACTGTCCCCAGCCGTACAAATAGTCACCGAATTATCACTCAATAATTCAGCATGCAGTAGGCTAAATTAACATGTGAAAATGTTCATGTTTGAACTATTAGGCTAACCAATTAAATGTACAAGCATCTAGCTGTTATGAATGTTTTACAAATACAATTAAAAATTCTTAAAAAGCACTCAAACACTTTTTATTATTTTGAGTTGTTTTTTTTCTCCCAATGTGTCCACAAAATCATTCATTCATTTTCTTTTCAGCTTAGTCCCTTTATTAATCTGGGGTCTTAACTGGGGGCGTAATTAACCGCCTACTTATCCGGCATATGTTTTACGCAGCGAATGCCCTTCCAGCTGCAACCCATCACTGGGAAACATCCATACACACCCATTCACACACATACACTTACCCAATTCACCTATAGCTCATGTCTTTGGACTTGTGGGGGAAACCAGAGCACCCGGAGGAAACCCACAGAACACGGGGAGAACATGCAAACTCCACACAGAAATGCCAACTGACTCAGCCGAGGTTTGAACCAGTGACCTTCCTGCTGTGAGGTGAGCGTGCCACCCACTGCACCACCTTGCAGCCTCTTCACAAAATCATTATTGTGCAAATTCATTATCACAATATTTTGAATTATTAAATATTGCCATGTCTTTTCCACCATTGTGAGCTTCTTCCCTTTAAGCAGGATGTTTACTATGATTGTTCTTAATAAAGAGAGAAGTTTAAAATTAGCCAGTTTGGTGTTTTGGCTAACCCTTATTCAGAGCTATAATAGGTAGTGTATTGTACCTACCTCATTTTCTGGCCTTTTGGTTGAACAGGCAGGCATTAGACAAGGCACTGTTACTGAAGACGCATCTCTTTGCAGCCCATTCATGTTGAATTACTGCCTGTTGCTTTTGTTTTCTCAGCAACAGTGGCTTTTGGGTACAAAATGATTAGTATATTTCAGAAAATTGGTGTTTTTTTAAGCCAATGTCTTGGTTTTTTGCTGTCAATTTGCAGTCTAGCAGTGTCCTTGTCTTGTTTTATTTGCAAATAAGGTGTGAGCTTTAATGGGTGAAAGTACGCTTGCATGATTGGTATTGAGGACAGCTTTTTGATGAATTTTTAAAATCTATTTGAAACATAACTGCTTACACTTGGCATCTCAGACTGTCGAATTATTGCTTTTTTTTTACACAATAGTAGTTTGACGTGTAGATTGGTTCAGATTCTTTCACAGTTATGTTTAGGTGTTTCAAATTCATTCAGCAACTTAGATTGATTTCTGAAAGTTGCAAATGTTGTACAATTTGTTTAGTGTATCAAGTTTTAAGGGTCTTGATCATAGTGAACTCATCTCTATTTTTATTTGATGAATATTTGACCGTGACCTTACTCCATCAAGTACACATTTAATGGATAAAGTACAATAAAGGCCACTGTTTTGCATGTGGTTGGTCTTCTCCAAACAGTTCTGTCTTTAATTACAGCTGTCTCTGCTAGTGTCTGCTTATGTCAGCTTTTAGTGAGCTCTCCTATGTTGTTGTCAGAGCTTAAGTATCTGGTTCACTCTCGTAACAGCACAGTGTAAACAAGAAAACCATAACTA